CCTTTCAGGGCCATATTTTGCCCACCCCTGACCTAGATGGTTACAGCTTCGTATTTGTCATGTAATTATCCAGCCTGTAATCTCTGTTCTTTGTACTTGGGGACTTAACAATGTAAGATGCACACCACTTCCAAATGTCACCCCACCTAGGTGGATGCCTAAATATAGATTGAGGTACCTAACTTTAGGAACCTACATCTTTTTAAGCAAAATTAATTGGTATTTCAAAGCCAGTATCTGATAAAGTGATTGGGGATTGGGGGGTGCACAGTCAGCAGGGGTCAGGCCACTTGATTCCCTATGGCACCCGTCTTCCCCCTGCATGTTGTTTTCTCCACTGCAGTGGGGCTGGTGGGGGGTGGATTTAAGATGGCCCTCCAAAATTAGATTCTAGACATAGAAAACTATAACATAATTTCTCCATGTTCAGAATCTGATTATTGGGGGACTGTCTTAAATTCAAAGCGGTTTTGAATTTGGGTAGATATTGTATATATTTAGTAGTTCGTTTCCACAGCCAGACAAATTTTTTTAAATTCCAAATCTCTATCTTGCTCTTGGGGAACAACTTAACCGTCTAGTCTGAAGAGTAACTTGATCTTGTCAATTAGAATAATTCTGTTTTTAAAATCTAAATCTTAGTATCACTAAGCAGCTCAAATGCACTGAAGGGAGAATTTTAACTTTAGGCAGATGTACTTGTAATGTGATGTTTAGGATTCTTATCTGCTTCTTGGGTCTCGCTAACTAGGCTGCATCTCAGAAATCGGAACAGGATTTTTGTTCCGAACTCCTTCCTGTTCTAATCGAAATTGCTGTAATGTGTTGTATGTGGGTTTTATTGCTTGCTCATGCAAATCTTGGCATGTTGATCTGCTCAGAATATCTTATATCAATGCTGTCTTGCTAACAATGCAGCAAAAACTTAGGTCTTGGGTCCAGACCTACAAAACAATCACATTTCATACGTGCTTTCTTTAGTATGCAAGAAAAAATCTGCGCGCGCACACACGTTTTGGGTCCCACAATTTATAGCTAATGCTCATTTTTACTGAAATGAGTCTTATCCAGGTCTTGTCAAGCAGCTCATTCCTAAGAGTATTGAGACAGTTGGATATGTGTAGAAGCAGAATATGTACCTATAACGCTCTACTGGCAAAAACTTAAGTGCCTCCAGAGTTTGGAGTCAGTTTTGTTGCGGTTTGCATTCTTGGGGGAAATTCTGATGTCTTGTTCCAAATCCTCTTGGATCTGGGCTTTTTTTTCTCCTTTGTGGTGGGAGTGGGGGTATATAATGTTTTGTTTGTTTATTTTAAAATTTTCATTTTAAAAAGGCATATCATGTTGACTTTGCTTTATTGTGCCATCTAACATGTAGGTGTAGAAATGGTAGGAGAAAATGCAAAATTGCGACATTGACTGACCCAGAATACAAAATGTTGATTAACAGCTTTGTTGCTGTACTTTTTTTAAGCTGTGGAGTTGGAAATGGTGCTCTCTCCCCATGTCCTATCCCCTTTAAATGCCTTCCCAGGGGTGAGAGGACTTGGGTTTTCTGCCATGATTTTTAGATTTAGAACCAGGCTGCTTACAGATGTGAAAGGAAAAAAAACCCCAGCACTTTACTTTCAGCTTGGCACACCCACAAGAAGAGGCATCTTGTTAGTTTGACCCAGCTCGCCCAACGTCTTTATAGATCGGGGCTTTTTGGCGCTTGTTTCTAATAGCTGATTCAATCTAATAGCTATTTGATACAAATGCCAAAAAGCCCTGCTGAAGTGCCCAACCTATACAGACGCTGAGGAGCCAGGTCAAACTACCATGATGCCTCTTCCAGTAAAGTGCTGGTTTTTGTTTTATTTTCACGTCTGTCAGTGCCCAGAAAATGATTCCAGTTCCATCTGGCTCTAGGGTTTTATAAGCTCTGTGATGCATTTATGTAGTATTAAAATATTTATTTTTCAGGTGATACCAAGATGGCACAGCTCTTTGAACACATGAACGATTGTTTCCATAGTTGAGCTATATTAGAAATGCATACTTTTGGTTTAAAGAGGAGGAGCTTTTAAACCTCAAACATAACCAGGTCTTGCTATCCCTATATCTTAACTGAAGGATAAGTTTAGAGTTATCTATTTTTTCCCCTTCCTTTTTGTTTTTTGTTTGTTTGTTTTAGCATATTTATTTTAAAGCTAAAAAATGGCTCCAGCTGTTTTCCATTGGACCTGCTGTTGATTTTTATAGGGAAGATTTACTTGTGCACAACCAGTTTACATGAGATGAGACTAAAATGCAAATTGTTTAGTTTCATGGTCCGTTCCTAAACTCCATCACTGCTGTAGATAAGCATAGTCCATTACTGCATCATCCTTTTTCCTGTGAGAAGCTAGTGGGCAATACTAGCTTTCATGTCAGCTGTAGAAGTTTATCCATGCAGGTATTCTTGTCACAGCCTAAAGCAATTCAAATACTTGATCATTCTGCTATTTAGATTTATTTAGACAAATGCCTGAGCTCATGTTCCATGAGTGAAAAGGATATAGATTTCCAATGGGTTCTTTACTATAGCTGAATATCATCTGGAAACACTGGAAGGCCTTATTTGGCAAGCAAGGCGAAGTTGGGGTGTGTAGTGAGGTTTTTGTGACAGAATGCATAAAAGCAGATAAATATTAAAATAAGTTATTTTGTCTCTTATTGTAAGCAGTCCTGAGCTGTTGTTGGGAAGGGTAGCGTATTAAATCAACTGTGTAACACTCTCCTCTTTGGTTGATAATAGTTGTAGAGTATTTGCTTCTCATTTTAAACCCTGTAAATCAGATCAGTTTTCGGGACAGAGTGAGGAAAGAAAATGAATGCTGCAACACTGAGTTTTTTTCAGTGCTTGAAGATGTTATTTTCTTAGACAATTTCCAGGTGATACGGTAGCTACAGATAGCACTCCAGCCTGCTTTTAAAAAGAACATAATCAAGCTGCAGCAAGAATAGTCTTTTGTAGGTGTGTACCCACAAAGGTTTTGTTGGCCGATGCCAATAGCCGATGATTAACCAACCATATTGACCAATGCCAGTCCTATAACCAATATTCATAATAGTGCAAGGCATTTTAAACTACCAACATAAATAAACCTTTTTTGTTTGTTTTGTATTTATCACACGCACGCACACCCACCCCCCTCCTGCCTGCTCTGGCCCTTGATGAAGGCACTGACTACCTTTATTCCCATGCACGTCACCCCATTGCCCATGGCTTCTACCTGTGGGTCCACTCCCACATAGCCTGTGCTGCTGTCCTGGGACAGAGGCAGACTGTCTTGTGGATAGTGGCACTGAGCACATTTCATAGTTTCATAGTTTCTAGGGTCGGAAGGGACCTGAGCAGATCATCTAGTCCGACCCCCCTGCCATGTCAGGAAGAGCACTGGGGTCAAATGACCCCAGTAAGGTGGTCATCCAACCTCCTCTTAAAAACCCCCAGGGTGGGAGCCTGCACCACCTCACTTGGAAGCTGGTTCCAGACTCTAGCCACCC